TCTCTGGGTGTAAGAGCCGACCACATGAACGATGCATATGTAAAAACACACCATCGTCAATGCGTCGGCACAGACGAATGGCCCACCCACTCGGGTGACCCACCCACTCGGGTGACCCACCCACCCGGGTAACCCACCCACCTGGGTGATTTCGCTGCGTTGTATGCGTTTTCGTTTACAACACCGCGTTTCTAAATCGAAAAACGACTTGTGGATACCCAATGAAAATATTCATTCGCTGGGCACAAGAACCGACCACATGAAATATGCAAATGTAAAAACATGCACAATCGTCATTGCGTCGGCACACACGGGTGACCCACCCAACCGGTTGACCCACCCACCCGGGTTACCCACCCACCCGGGTGACCCACCCACCTGGGTCATTCCGCTGAGATGCGTACGTCTTCGTATACAGCGCCGCGATTCTGAATTGAAAAACGAGTTGTGAAAATCCAATGTAAAAATTCATTCCCTGGGTGTAAGAGCCGACCTTATGAACGACGCACATGAAGAAAATACATCGTCATTGCGGCGGCACACACCGGCGACCCACCCACCCGGGTGACCCACCAACTCGGGTGAACCACCCACCCGCGTCACCCACCTGGGTGAGTTCGCTGCGTTGTATACGTTTTCGCACACGGCGCAACGATTTTAAATCGAACAACGAGACGTGGACACCCAATGTAAAAAATCATTCTCTGGGCGTAAGACCCGACCACACGAACGATGCATATGTTTTTTTTACCCCGTCATTGCGTCGGCACAGACTGGTGACCCACCCACTCGGGTGACCCACCCACCCGGGTGATCTACCCGCCCGGGTGACGCAGACAACTGGGTGATTCCGTTGCTGTACGTTTTCGCATACAGCGCCGTGATTCTAAATCGAACAACGAGCTGTGAAAACCCCGTGTAAAAATTCATTCTCTGGGTGTAAGAGCCGACGACATGAACGATGCATATGTAAAAACATACACAATCGTCATTGCGTCGGCACACACGGGGGACCCACCCATTCGGGTGACCCACCCACTCGGGTGACCCACCCATCCGGGTGACCCACCCACCTGGGTTATGTCGCTGCTGTGTGTGTTCGTTTTCGTACACGGCGCCGCGATTCTACATCGAAATATGGGTCGTGAAAGCACAATGTGAAAATTCATTTTCCGGGTGTAAGAGCAGGCCACACGAACGATGCATATGTAAAACACACACACAAACACACACAATCGTCAGTGCGTCGGCACACACTGGTGACCCACCCACTCGGGAGACCCACCCACTCGGGTGACCCACCCACCCGGGTGACCCACCCACCTGGGTGATTTCGCTGCGTTGTATGCGTTTTCGTTTACAGCGCCGCGATTCGAAATCGAAAAACGAGCTGTGAAAACTCAATGTAAAAATTCACTCTCTGGGTGTAGGAGCCGACGACATGAACGATGCATATGTAAAAACACAATCGCCACTGCGTCGGCACACACTGGTGAGCCACCCGCTCGGGTGACCCACCCACTCGGGTGATCCACCCACCCAGGTGATCCACCCACCTGGGTGATTTCGCTGCGTTCTTCACATGTTCGTATACAGCGCCGCGATTCTAAATCGAAAAACGACTTGCGGAAACCCAACGTACAAATTCATTCTCTTGGTGTGAAGGCCGACCGCACGAACGATGCATATGTACAATGGAAACATTCGCCATTGCGTCGGCACACAATGGTGACCACCCACTCGGGTGACCCACTCACTCGGGTGACCCACCCACCCGGGTGACCCACCCACCTGGGTGATTTCGCTGCGTTGTATACGTTTTCGTATACAGCGTCGCGATTATAAGTCGAAAAACGAGTGGTGACAACCCAATGTGACAATGCACACTCTGGGTGTAAGAACTGACCACATGAACGATGCACATGTGGAAAAAACGAACACTAGCGTCATTGCGTCGGCACTTAGTGGTGACCCACCCACTGGGGTGACCCACCCACTCGGGTGCCCCACCCACCCGGGTGATTCCGTTGCGTTGTATGCGTTTTCGTATACAGCGCCGCGATTCGAAATCGAAAAAGGAGTGGTGACACCCAATGTAAAAAATCATTATCTTGGTGTAAGAGCCGCCCACATGAATAATGCAACTGGGGGAAAAAAACAACCGTCATTGCGTCGGCACATAGTGGTGACCCACCCACTCGGGTGACCCACCCACCTCCCAGGTGACCCACCCACCTGGGTGATTTCGCTGCGTTGTATGCGTTTTCGTATACAGCGCTGCGTTTTTTATCGGAAAACGACTTGCGAAAACCCATCAAAAAATCTCTGGGTGCAGGAGCCGACCACATGAACGATGCATATGTACAAACATTCACACAATCGCCATTGCATCGGCACGCACTGGTGACCCACCCACTCGGGTGACCCACTCACTCGGGTGACCCACCCACCCGGGTGACCCACCCACTTCGGTGATTCCGCTGCTTTCTATACGCTTTCCCATACAGCGCCGCGGATCTAAATCGAACAAAAACATTGAAAACCAAATGTACAAAATCATTCTCTTGGTGTAAGAGCCGACCACATGAACGATGCATATGTAAATTGGAAAAAAAACACTCTCGCCATGGCGTCGGCACACACTGGCGACCCACACACTCGGGTGACCCACCCACCGGGGTGACCCACCCACCTGGGTGATTCCACTGCGTTGTATACGTTTTCGTATGCACCGCCGCGATTCGAAATCGAACAACGAGTTGTGAAAACCCAATGTACAAATTCATTCTCTGACTGGGGTATGAGGCATGGGGCATGCACCGTGGCGCCATGGGGCTTGGGGCATTCCCCATGTGGCACGGAGTACGGATGTCCCAGGGGGTGCGGGGGGGGGGCATGGGGAATGGGACACGCCCGTGGGCCCGTGGGCCATGGGATATGGAGCATGCCCTATGGGGCATTCCCTACGTACGTGCGAATGCGGCAGGTGGCCTGCGCGCTGCATAAGAATCACGTGGCGTGGGGGACGGTGAAGCCCCATGGGGCGGCATGGGATGAGTCACTGGGCATGGGGCAGGCCCAATGGTGAACAGGGCTCACGCCCCAGTGGCCATTCAGCATGCGGCATGCCGCATTGGGCATGGGGCATGTCCCATGGGGCATGGGCCATGCCCCATGTGGCCCGCGACATCGGCCCTCGCAAATTAATGACAAAGTGGTTGGGGTCGCCACGTGGCGCCGCTGTATGGCCGAATTGGAGGAACACAACAGCTCGCCCAGCGGGAAAAATAATGTATAAATTTCGGCGTGGCCCAGCGGAACACCATGCAAGGTCAAATAGGTAAACACGATCTTCTGCCCGCGAACAAAACACGATGCTCTTGGCGTGACCGCGCGGGCCCGGCGCCGTTCCCGCAAGAACAAACACAAAGGCGCGCCTAGTACCAAAAACACAAAGACTCCGGGGCAGCCACGGTGGCAACCGCGCGACAAAAAAACAGAAAACGCAACGCCGTGGGCCATTAAAAAACCACAAACATCGCAATGTACCGCGCGCCCCCCCCCCACCCGCGCGAGCCACTGCAGAAAAATAAAAAAGCCTGGCCGCCGCCGCGCAAGAAAACGCCGTCGGCGCAAGCCACTTGGGCGGCCTACCTAGGCCAAACGAGGAAACACAAGCGGACGGGAACACAAAAATGGTTACAAGGCTTTGGCGGGCGCGAGCGGGGCCCTTGGAATGAAACACAAGCGGATGGTTACAAAGATGAGTTTCAGTAGCCCGTTTCAAGTTCGGTGCGGCCCGACGAGAAAAACACAACCGGAAGCCCGGAGCATGCAACACAATCAGGCCCGGCCCGCATATATGTTTCCAGCTTCCCCGAACGCTGGAGCAGGTTCACGAATGGAGGGCGGCTCCTTTTCAAAACGCGGCATCCGTCGTAGCACCGCAAAATGAGGCTCTCGCCTGAGCGCCGCGTACATTCGCCCCAAAACTTCGCGACAATTTAAAGGATTCGTGCGGTCGAAGTCCCATGAGTGGTGTTCTGACACGATCTACGACTGTCAAGACGCGACAGTGACGTTGATTCGCGGTGCTGAAACTCCAAGATAAGGGGGGTTCTGGCACTTTGAGGGTTCTCAGACGGATGTGTTCTAATGGGCCACTGCCCGCAATGAAAACAAACCGTGGCTTCGTCATATAATTTTGTGAAGGTCTACGGGACGGAAAGCGGTTCATCTTCAACCTGCGGCCTTCGCTCTCGCGCCGCGTTGGCGCGCACGCTCGCCCTCTCAAGGCCTGCGGCACCTTTAAGAATCTTCCTCCGGCCGAAGCCCCAAGAACTGTGCTCTGACAAGATTTTCGGGGGGCGCGCAAACATGGATTAGCGATCCGTGGATTTGGCGCGCGGTCGCCAAATCCGTTGATCGGGGAGGTGCCCTCCCCAAAATGCGGCCAGTGCCGCCTCTTTCGGCGGCGGAAATCTACCATTTCCAATGGAAGCGGGACCCGTCGCTAATCCACGTCCCCTTGGTCCATGTTTGCAATCGCCTGAGATGTAGGACTGACAGCGACAGACATGTTCACTCGCTGTGCTCAAGTGCAGGAACAGTGATCTGGCACGAATCCGAGCAATCACGGCGCAACAGTCATGTTGAGCCGCGGCGTTGAATTCGTAGACGCGGTGTTTTGGCAACACTGTGGCTTCTCAGACGGTTGTCTTCACATGGTCGGTTCCCAACAATCATATCCTATGTAAGGGCGTATGAAGGGGGGATTTGGGAAGGAAAAAACATTGCAACGTCCTTGATCCGCCATGGGCTTGCATTGGTCCTCATCCCCCTCCTCCTCCACTTTCGCATTCCCCCCTCTCCAGCCCCCATGGCCCCCTCTGCCTCCTCTGCCCCCGCCTCCTCCTCCGCCTCCACCGCCGCGCGCACCATTCACCGTTCCCGCCGCTGCCCCCGCCCCCGCCCCTCCGCCCCCCGCCGCGGCGCGGGGCCTCGGCGAGCTTGCCCCCGCCGCACGCCACGCCGCCCGCGCGCGGCTGGCAGCCCGCCCAGGAGCCCACCAGGTCGAGGTGGTCGCACAGGGCGAGCCGCTGGCCAGAGCCGCCCCCTCTCGGCCCCGCGACCGTGCGCGGCCTGCGCCCCCCGGCCTCGGCGGCGGCCCCGCCCGTCTGGCTCCCTCGCCCCTTCCCCCTCCTGTCCCTCTCCAGCCTTCTCCCTCTCGTTATTGCTCTCGCTCTCTGTGTCTCTCTCTCTCTCTCTCTCTCTCTTTCTATGCTTTTGTTGCTGTTTCTCTCTCTCTCTCTCTTTCTCTATCTCTCTATACTCCTCTGTTCCTTGATTTCTGTAGTTATTTCGTTATGTTATTCATTTCTTTGATTTCTGTATTTCTGAATCCTGCAGGCGGGTCCTTGGACGGGGCGCAAGCGCACTGCAGACCAGTCGGATGCGCAAGGAGACCAAGCCTAAACTTCAGGGCCATTGTGAACTTATCGTCTGCTATCGCTAAGCGGCTCGAGACAGGCCCAGAGCAACGCCAGAGGCGTACCTGCTCCCGTTTCGAGCCAGAGAAGCTAGCGCGACGGGGCTGCTCCGGGAAAAACTCCAGGGCGTTTACCAGCGAAGCGTGGATTACGGGGCCTGCCCCCACAGAAGCGCAGCTGGCGCCAACCGCGAGGAAGGCGGGGCCCCCATGATGACCTCCACGTCGTGGCGAACATGCACGGGGTGGTGCTCCAGAGCGCACAAACAGTAGCCGATGCCTGCCAGGTCGACCGCGCCACCGGTGCGGTGCTGCTCCGATCGATCGAACCCAATGCCGTCGAGCCTCTGCGAGACGGCAGGCAGGTACTGGGAGGCAGCAACAAAATTGGCAAACAGGCCCTTGGAACCGGCGCCGGTGAGGTCGCAGCCCTCACGCCGCCCCGACAGCCTCAAGCGGCACTCCTGCTGAGCCGCGAAGCGGGCAGCGCGCGTCACCTCACAAGCCGTGGCCAAAACAGCTCGTTCTAACCGCTCAGCGAGGGTGGAGAAAAAACCCTAGTGGCTACACTATGGGAATCTCGAAAACATGTTCCCGGAGGCCTGTACGGGAACATGGTTCAAAACAGCAGTACCGCGCGCGTGTCACGATGGGAAGCTGACAAATAAGCTTATGGAGGTCTCTCTGGGAATCTTATCTCAGAGGTATCTATCCTGCCCGAGCTACGTGGATGCTAAAGGTGCGCTGAATATCATCTACAACCCCCTCGCCAAAGCATACAAGCATCACCGACGCAAAACTAAATCCCACCGGTTCCTTGGGCGTAGGTGGTTTAACGAATGTTGTCTTCTTTCTCTGCCCAAACCCTTCCTTGCCCTGCACGGGGGAAAGGGTTACCTCCCCCTACCCCTTCCCCTGGGTCTGGACGGGACGTCCCGCGAGGGGTTAGCGCGTCCAAGATGGCCCAACATGGCTCCAAGAGGGCCAAGCCCAAGATGGCCTCCAAGATGCCTCAAAATACCTCAAGATGATTCAAGATAACCTCCGACACACATCCAGGAGGCCTCACGACGGCCCCAAGTCGATTTCAAGCCCCCTTCGAGTCCTCCAAGGATCCCCCCCGAGAGGCCAAACTCCTTCACACCTAATGAGAATCAATGTATGTTGCCTTTTCGCCTCTTCGCTTCCGATGAGCTCTGGAGGCCTCACAGGCCCCAAGACGACCCAAGAGAGCCTCAAGAGGGGCCCGAGGGGGGCCTAAGAGGGCCCCAAGAGCGCCCAAGAGCACCCCAAGGGGGCCCCCAACCGCCCTCTTTGAGCCTCGGAGGGGGTGACCTGAATTTCCGACCCCTCTTTCGACCCATGGGGGCCAAGATGGCCCCAAGAGGCCTCCGAGATCCTTCTAAGGAGCCCCCAAAAGGGCCCCAAGGCACCCAAAATGAGCCCCAAGAGGGCCACGAGAATGCCCCAAGAGGCCTCACAGGGGGCCCAGAAACCGCGCGGCGCTTGTAGCCGGGCGGTCGGGCACTCGTGTCCGCATCAGTATGTTTTTTCTTGTTCTCTCTCTCTCTCTCTCTTTATTCCTCTTGTCTCTTCAGGTGGGCTGCTCTGCTTCAGGCTAGAAGACTGAGGACGACTGTTTACACCGAGGTGTTCAAGGCCCGAACGAAACCAATCGCCGACGCCCCCCTCGCAATCCCTTTTCCAGAAGAGATGCCCCTCAGACGGCACCCGAAGGGCCTGATGAGGAAGGAGGCGTCACTACAACCGCCCCGGATGGCCACTCAACTTGCCATCGACCTGGCACAGACGGCCCAGACTGCCCCTAGGCAGCAACCTACGGCGGTTCCACGACACACAAGCGGCCATGGACCCGCACACGATTTCAACGGGTTCGCCTCAGGTTCCCAAATGCTCCCCAGGAAACGTCCCAGCGGGCTCCTGAGAGGCCAACAACTTATGGGAGAACGCCACTTAGTATCAAAACTGCCCCGGGCTGAAGATGACTTGTCGAAGGCCTACGTGCGGCCACATATTCCTAAAACTCCTCCGAGCGAGTGTGGACTTCTTCGGCGCGGCAGGAGGCAGCCTCTGGGCGGGGACGCGAGCGCCACTGTGTTGCGCCGCCTCGTCCAGCGATGACTTGCTCTGCCAAGCCGAAGGCTCTCATGCCGCAACTCTAGTGCGTTGTCATTGTCTTTCTCCTTTCGCGTCCTCCGCCTCTTCCTCTTCCCTTCCCCTCCGCCTCTTCGGGTCGCCCGGGGCTTGGCCCGCCTCCTGGGCTTCCGACCCTAATGAAAACTCGACTGCCTGAGAATTCCGACACCCCTGGCGCATGGGGGCAGCGCGGCAACAAAACCTCCTCTTCCTCCTACTCCTAGCCTCCTCGTCCTCCTCCTCCTACCCCTCCTCCTCCTCCTCCTCCTCCTCCTCCTCCTCCTCCTCCTCCCTCCTCCCTCCTCCTCCTCCTCCTCCTCCTCCTCCTTCGGTGCAGTCCAGCTCCGAAGAAGAGGATGTGGACCCCTCCCTCCCTCTTGAGGCCTGGTTCCTGTCCGAGCCACGCGCCTTGGTGCTCAGGGCCTCCATCTGGGCGAACCTCAGGCGTCTGGTGGAGCCGCTCTGGGAGACTCAGAACTCCCCCACCCCAAGGAGGGATAAGAGTGACGCAGGTGAAGAAGTGGAGCGCAACATGTTCCAGGCGGAATCGAAACACAAGCAAGCAGGTGCCCCCACTTGGGCAACGGGCAATGGCAATGCTGAGGATAAGGATATCCACAGTGATGCGCTGTACTGCGATACGTTGCGCTGTACTGCGCCGTGCTGAACTGTGCTGTTTCGTACTGTGTTGAACCGCGCTGCGCTGTACTGCGTCGTGAATCCAGCCTTCCTTGGCGTCTGGATAGGGAGAAGTAAGACGATGGCGTATGGGGAGGAGCCAGCGGGAGCAGGGGTGGGGGAGCGAGGAACGGAGATCAGGCAGCGAAAAAGGCGAGCAGGCAAATGCGAGTGAGGCGAAAGGAACGGAGGGGTAGTGAGGGAACAGAGGGGGGTAAAGATGGAAGCGGGGATGGGGGAGAAGAAGGAAGGGGGGGATCGAGGGGGGGGGGACGGAGCGCGAAGGCCATGCGTCAATATCACCTTTGCGCACGGCGTATGCGCAGGTCCTCCCTCGGCCCTTCTGCGGACGGGGAGAGGGTTCCTCCTCTCGTGGTCCTCCTCCCACGGGCTGTCTCTGGAGATCGCGGCCTCCAGGGGCACTCAAAAGGTCTCTGGAGACCCCCTACAATTAGCAAATCTGTCAAACAAAAACAGTTGACCGTCGATTATCCTTATCCTCCTTATCCTGCTCCTCCTCCTGCTCCTCCTCCTGCTCCTCCTCGTCGTCATCGTCATCGTCATCGTCATCATCATCATCATCATCATCATCATCATCATCATCATCATCATCATCATCATCATCATCATCATCATCATCATCAGGCCTCCGAGGCGTCCCCAAGAAGCCCCAAAAAGAGGCCCCGAAGAAGGCCCCCAAAGCCCCCCCCCCAGATGCTCCCAAAAAGCCAATCGAAGGGGCCCCTGCGGGACTTCCCGCGAGCCCCTCACTTGCATCCAAGAAGCTCCTGACTCACTGGATAACTTCAAAGATCGTCGCAAGCACTCGCTCCTTCTGGAGGGTCGGCGAAATGGCGTAAGCCACTTAGGCAAAGGCCCCAGAGGGCGCCAAAAGGACCCCCAAGAGCGCGCCCGGAGGCCAAAATCAAGATTCAATGTTTTGCCTTAGGTTTTTGAAGGGTTCTAGCGTTTTCGTATTTTTCTATCCCCAGAGGTCCATGACAGCCCAAGCAGCCCCCAAGAGGACCCCAAGACGGCCCAAGAGGGTCCCAAGACGGCCAAAAGAGGCCCCCAAGACGGTCTAAGAGGCTCCCAAGAGAGTCCTAAGGCGGCTGCGAGAGGCCCACAGATGGCCTCCGAAGGAGCCAAACTGCGCAAGAGCGCCGCAAGACGGCCCAAGACGCCCCGAAGAGAACCCAAGAAGCCCACGAGAGGGCTCCAAGAGGCCCCAAAGATGCTTCCACCAGGCCCCGCAACGTCTGGACTGCACGTGCTCCGGACGTGCACCCTGCGAAGCGAGAGGAATCCACGCCTGGACGTGTTGCTGGAGGCAGGCCCGCGGATGCTGAAATGCAACGTATCCAATATCATAATGTTTTCATGTGTACATATTGTACGATGTTTCATTATTATGTCTCCCCCCTAACCCCCCACAAGGGCCACGCCACATCCGCTGACCAGGATGCCCCCCCCTTCTGGAGCTCAACGACCTGGGCCCCTTGGGGGACCATGAGTACATCAAAACAACTCAAAATAACCTCAAAAGGACCTCAAGACGGTCCAAGATGGCCCCAAGAGGGCTCAAAAAGCTCCCAAGAAGGCCCCAGAGGACCCCAAGAGGACCCTCAAGAGCGCCTCCAGAGGCCCAAAGCATTGTTTTTCCTTGGGTTTTTGACAGATTTTGGAATTTTCGTTTTTTCTACCCTTAGAAGAAATCCATGACAGCCCAAGCGGCCTCCAAAATTGTCCCAGGACGGCCCCAGAGGCCCCCAAGAGAACCCCAAGACGGCTCGAGAGGGTCCCAAGATGGCACCAAGAGGCCCTCAGGACGGTCCAAGAGGCCCCAAGACGGCCCAAGAGGACCCCAAGAGACGCCTAAGGCGGCTGCGAGAAGCCCACAGGATGGCCTCCGAAGGAGCGCCCCAAGACAGCCCAAGACGCCCCCAAGAGGCTCCAAAGAAGCCCCCAAGAGGCCCCACGACGCCCCCAAGAGGCCCTCAAGAGGCCCCAAAGAGGCTTCCACCAGGCCCCGCAGCGTCTGGACTGCACGTGCTCCGGACGTGCACCCCACGAAGCGAGGGAATTCACATCCAGAAATGACGTACTGAGTGGCAGCGTTTCCCGAGAAGGCAGTAATGCAACGTATCCAATGTATCTAATAGTTGCGTACTTGCCACATGTTGTAATGTGTTACATTATTATGTGTCCCCCCCCACCCCCCCTGGAGTCGCGCCACTTCCGTCGACCCGAACGTGACGGACCCCTGTGGGGCTTCGAAACATACAAAAAACCGGTGAAAAAATTATGATTTGGGCCCCTGGGGCCTCTTGGAGGCCCAAGAGTGCGTCAAGACGGCTCAAGATGGCCTCAAGACAGACCAAGACGACCCCAAGACGGTCCAAGATGGCCCCAAGAGGGCTCAAAAAGCCATCAAGAAGTCCGCAGAGGTCCCCAAGAGGACCCCCAAGAGCGCCTCCAGAGGCCAACATCATTGATTGTCAAAGGAAAGTGTTTGAAAGACTTCAGCGTTCTCGCCTTTGTCGACTCTCAGGGGCCCATGACAGCCCAAGCAGCCTCCAAAATGGCCGCAACACGACCGAAGAAGCCCCCCAAAGGGCCTCAAGACGGCCCAAGAGGGCCCAAAGACGCCCCCAAGATGGTCTTCGAGGCCCCCGAGATGGCCTAAAGGGACCCCCAGAAAGCCCCCTCCAAGAGGCCCCGAAGAGACTACCACCAGACCCCGCAACGACTGGATTGCACGCACTCCAGACGTGCACCCCGCGAAGCGAGAGGAATCATCATCATCATCATCATCATCATCATCATCATCATCATCATCATCATCATCATCATCATCATCATCATCATCATCATCATCATCATTTTCATCATCATGTTCATCAGCATCATCATTATCATCATCATCATCAGCATCAGCATCATCATCATCATCATCATCATCATCATAATCGTCATCGTCCTCGTCATCATCATCACACTCATAATCGCCATCATCACCACCATCATCATCGTCAGCAACATGAATATCATCATCATCAGCATCACCGTCATCACCACCACAATCACCATCATCACCAGCATCACAATCATCATCACCACAATCACCACCATCATCATCATCATCATCGCCATCGTCGTCGTCGTCATCATACTTAGTATCATCATCATCATCACCATCAACATCATCATCATTACCACAACCACCACCATCAGCACCAGCGTCAGCATTATCAGCATCATAATCATCATCACATTCATCATCATCATCATCAGAGTCAGCATAATCATGATACTCATCAACATTGCCATCATCATCACCACCATCATCATCATCGTCGTCATGATCCCACTCATAATCGTAAACATCATCACCATCATGATCAGCTGCATCAGTATCAGCATGATCATCGTATTTGCATCATCATCATTATTAGTATTGACATCGTTGTTGTCGTCATCATCATCACCATCAAATCATCATCAGCACCAGCATCGTCATCAGCACCAGCATCGTCATCAGCATCTTCATCAGCACCAGCATCTTCATCAGCATCAGCATCATCATCATCATCATCGTCATCATCATCATCACCATCACCATCACCATCACCATCACCATCATCATCATCACCATCACCATCACCATCACCATCACCATCACCATCACCATCACCATCACCATCACCATCACCATCATCATCATCATCATCATCATCATCATCATCATCATCATCATCATCATCATCATCATCATCATCATCATCATCATCATCATCATCATCGCCATCATCATCAACATCATCCTCATCCGTTTCCTTATCCTTACCCTCTTCTTCCCATACCTCCCTCCCTCCCCTCGCAGCGGGAAAACGTGTGGGCCCTCAGGAGACCGGCGCCAGTGAAGGGGGCGCGATTCTGAGCCCGTGGCGGCCGAGGCTCTCGCGTAGTGCCGAGGGACCGACACGACCGAGCCCGCGGGCACCGCGCAGCTGAGGCTGGTGGGGCCGGCGGCCCGTGGCTCGGCTGCGGGCCCTCACCGCCGTGGCGCCGCAGCGAAGCCGCCGGAGGGAGACGCCGCGGCGGGAGCCACGGTCAGAGGCAGGGGCGGCAACGGCGCCGTCCACGGCGACGCCGGGCTGGGAGCCAGTGGAGCGGGCGAGCGAGCGAGCGAGCCATCCTCGGGGCCTAGCTCAGGCTAGGTGGGCGAGGCCTTGGCCTCTCTCTCTCTCTCTCTCTCTATATATAAATGTGTGTTCCTCTTCCTTGTTTGCTGTTGTTTCTCTCTCTCTCTCTGTTTTTGTTATTGTTGTCCTTCTCTCTCTATGTATGTATGTATGTATGTATGTATGTATGTATGTATGTATGTATATATATATATAATATATATATTATATATATATGTATATGTGTGTTGTATGTTGGTTCTCTCTCTCTCTCTCTCTCCCTCCCTCTCTCTCTCTCTCTCCCTCCCTCCCTCTATATATATACATATATATATATATATGTGCAGCGAGACGTGATGGAAACTGAGGAGCCGATGGGCTGCGGCAGGGGTGGGGCCGGCCGCGGGCAGCGCTGCCGCTGCCCCCCCCCAGGTGCTGGCGCCTGCCCTGGCGCCGCGGGGGCTTTCCCCGATTGCGGGGGGGCTTCGAAGAAGGCGATGGTTGAGACGTTTCCCTCAAGGGAACGCCAGCGAACGGGGCTTCTTAGACCGCGGCGTCGCATCTGAGACCTCGAAGAAGCGCGAGCGAAAGCGTCGCGCCGCGACCTCGTGGGCGAAGCCGAACGGGGCTTGAGAAATCGGCATCGTCCGTCTCAAAAGTGCCTTGCCCTGGGGCCCCCTCTGGGACCGCGTGCATGGTGCGTGACCGCTGGCCGATTCCGGAAACCCTGCATCCAAAAGGTCGCCATCTCTTGGGGAGGCGGCCTCGTTTCACAACCGCGGGCTTCCGCCGCCCTCCCGCCGCCTCTCGCCGAGGAAGACATGGCAGCTCCTTCGATCCTCGACGGCGAGGCGGCCCTTGCCGCTGCTGGCGCCACGCACCCTGCAGCGAGCGGCGCGGGGCGTGGCGGCAACAGCTGCGGACGCCCGAGAAGATGGCGGACGAGAAGAGCCAACGGCCACGGCGGCAACTCCGGAGGGAGGAGCGGGGGGCTGGCCACCAGGGGAGTGGGGCGCTCCCGGGGTCCGATCCAGCGGCGGCTGCGCCTGGCGAGCTCGGGCCCGGTGACGCCGAAATCGCCCTGGACCCGGCTTCCGACGTAGTTGCAAAGGAGGACGCAGTGGGCTCGGACCTGGCGACGCCGAGTTCGCCCTGGAGCTAGCAGCTAGCCTTCGACATGGCTGCGGAGGTGGATACCGCTCACGCACTGGGTGGAGACTCTCGAGAAGCGGCTGCAGGCACTCTCGCCGCAGCAAGTGATGTTCTACCCAACTGAGGCTACATTGCTGTTCCTGACAGCTGCTGTTGAAGCGGTGACTGACTGAAAGATCTAGGCCAACCTGAAGAATGGAATGGAATGGAAGTCAGCGTGCCGGCTCCGGTAACCGAAACGGTCCCTTAGAGGGCAGACCGTGCGCTGAGGATGTCGGAAAATTCAGTTAACAAATCCTCTGGTGTGTAAGCCGGGAAAATGCGGTTAACAAGTCAATTCAAGTCGCGCCGAGGAGCCTCAGGAGGTAGTACCTCGCTCCAAAAGCGGAGACGGAGGGCGTGAGACACTACGGCGACATAGCGCGCATGCAGGAGAGGAGTGGCGCGAGCACACGACCTAGGAAGTGCACCATCTAGGAATGCAGCCTCACGGTCGTAGCAGGCGTCGCGGCTGACCAGAGCAGCAGCGACATCGAAGGGCCAGGCGTCCTTTCGAAGGACACCGTGCACGAGCAGCGTATGGTCGGGGAGGGCGCCTGCGTAGAGGAGTCGTGCGGCCATCCTGAAGGCTCGAGGTTGTGATGCCGTCCGGGGACGCCGAGCACAAGGGCTCCACAGAGTGCCAGTCGACCTGCAGGCCCGGACTGTGGTGTGCGGAGGGGCGTGGGGCGCCCGGGGTGCGTGCAGCGACGACCGCCAGGTGGCGCAAGAAGGAGGCTCGACACGAAGCTGGCCGATGTCTGGAGCGGCCAAGAGGGGGGCGTCCAAGAGGCGGGGGTGAGAAGCACGGCCGGCGGCATGTGCGCGGCCCAGGGGGGGAGGGGGGGGCAGGGACGTAATGAAGTAAGAAGAGGCGCCATGACATCTGGGGAAATACCATGGCCCACGCCATGACATCCACCCCCGACGACGCGGAGGGGCTGCGGGAGGCCGGCAGGGCGGGGACGCCCACGAGGTTCACACAGCTGTACCCGAGCACCCTCCGATGGGGCCACGGAAGAGGCCGACGGGCTGGGGCCAGCTCGCGGCCGAGGGCATCGCGGAGCCAGCCCGAGAGGGCGGGGGCACGCGATCGGGCCGATCCCCCCTCTCGCCTCTCTAGACGAGCGCGTTCCACTACTCGCAGAAGTAACTGCTCGCAAGTGGCCCAGGTCCGCCGCGGGGGCTCTGCGATACACTGCGTCAGCGCAGACGTCTTTTTCGGACGTTTGCGAGTAGGCACTTTGCGAGTAGTGGAACGCGCTCGGCGACTCTCCTTCCTCGCCTCCCCTCCTTGTTCCTCCTGTGTGTGTGCGGGGTGGGGGCTGCTGCTCTTGAGCCGTCGCCGACCTCCCCCCCCTCACTTCCCCCCCCCCTCCTTCACTTGCCCCTCCTCCCTCCTGTTGCCTCCTCCTTCCTCCCACCGGAGGGCCCCTCCCCTCCTGTCTCCTCCGTCCTCCCTCTAGTAACCACCCCGACACGCGAAGCCGTTCAGTAAACGCACCCAGAGAAGGGTGTTTTTTCCTCCCCTGACCTCCTTCTCCTCCTCCCTCCCACGCAAGGGCCGGGGCGCGAGCTTCTCCTCGCCGTGGGGGAAGTGGCAGAAGTTGCAGTCCTGCGAAGGGGCACGGCGCGCGCGCACGCGGCCGCAAGCGGGGCCGGTCGTCGGCCCCGTCGTCACGGTCGCTCCGGCCTCCGGGGAGGTCCTTCCCTCGGGGACCAAGAGGGCTACCTACGAGACCACCCCAACCCAACCCGAAGACCCGAATTTCGGGCTGGGGGGGTATGGGCTCCACATGTGTTTTGTTCGATGTTCACCGACCCACCCCCCTCTGGAAATGGAGGGCAAATCGAGGCATTCGGGCTGGGTTGGGGCAGTTTGAAGGAGAGAGAAGGAGAGGCAGCAGCGGCGGCACTCCACACGAGTCCGAAGTGGCACCCCACAAGAGTCCGAAGAGTCCGGAGGGGGAGGGGCAGAGCCCCTGTCAAATCTGCAGCTCGGCACCTCGCAAAGGAGGGGCACCAGCAGCAGCCCCGTGCATGCACGGGGGGTGCCAGTGCACATCCCGCATCGATGCAGTTCCCTGCGCAAGCCAAGAGAGGAGGAGGAGGAGAGGAGGAGGAGGAGGAAGAGGAGGAGGAGGAGAGGAGGAGGAGAAGCTGGGCGCGCTCGCGCCACACCTGGCCCTTCCCTCCCATCCCTTCCCACTGCGCTTATGTCGGGCGTGTCCTCCGACAGGTGGAGTTTGGACGAAAACGTTGTTACAACATATTCAAGAATTAGCCACAAATACGCAATCAATCGTCCAAGTATTATTCCCTACCTAGGCTCTGCCTAGATGGGTTCTTACTCTATTTGCTTAAAGGGGCCGGGCAGTGCAAATCGCCCCGGGCGGTTCCCCCGGCATCCGCCACGCGGTTCTCCCAGTTACGTTCCCTTGGCTTAGCGTTGCTAATCTCATCTTAGCTTAGCTTATTTCATCTTAGCTTAGCTTAGCTTCATCTTAGCTCAGGTTTGTATTTGCTTAGGTTACCTTCATCTTAGCTTCGCCGAGCTGTAGCATAGCAGAGCACAGCATATCATAGCGTAGCACAGCATAGCGAAGCACAGCATATCATATCATCTCATATCATACCATAGCATAGCGCAGCACAGCACAGCACAGCATAGCACAGTGCAGCATATCATAGCATAGTACAGCATCACAGCAATTGCAAAAACAAAAGCACAAGCAACAACACGAAGTGCAAAGCATGGGTGTAATTCCCTACCTAGGCTCTGCCTAGAGGGTTAGCTTAGCTTAGCTTAGCATAGCGCAGCGCTGGATTAGCATAGCATAGCATAGCATAGCAAGGCATAGCATAGCATAGCATAGCGCAGCATAGCATAGCATAGCATAGCATAGCATAGCATTGCATAGCATAGCATAGCATAGCCTAGCGCACCACAACATGGCATAGCATAGCATAGCAACTAATGCTGCTTTCCTAGGGGCTCCAACTTCTAGGTAGGGTCGCACTGGGTAATTTGTTATGACAATGTTTAAATATTCCTCCTGTAGAGGGACAGGCCCGACTTAACACTGCGCTGATTGTTCATCCACGGCCGTATGTCCAAGCGAACCTGGAACCCCCACTTGTTCAATCCGAAACCCGGATCGCACGGCGCCGAGAGGATGTGGAAAACCCTCCCGACGAAGCTCGAAAAGCTCCTGAAACAACAAAAAAACGTATTCGAACAAACTCCCACCTGCTCAAGGAAGCCTGGGAACCTGTCCCAAACGCAGGAACCTGTGTGGGAGACGCTTGCCAGTACGCTGGAAAGCAATGCCAGGGGAGCTTGCAAATTTCGATTGTAAGCTTCGGAAAAACAAGCTTCGATGGAGCTGCGACGCACCTGCGGGAAAGGTTCGGGCACGCGTCTTGGGAACGAATAGGAAAACGTTTCCCTGGAACACGCTGCCAGTTCAGACAAGTCGCTGCCGTGCTGCATGACCGGGGTCTCCGGGAAAAAGTTTGCGCAGCTCTGCCTGCCGGCTTCTTATCTAACAACCCTCGTGGCTGTCCGGAGAGCTATTCCGGAAAAAGGGCGCCCATCGTGTTATGCGCAATTTATGCGCGATCGGAAAAAAAAGGGAGCCGCGCGCGAAGGTGGCGGAGGGATGGACATAAGCATGAGCAGGAAGAGCAGGAGGAGGAATCATATTGTAAAGGAGACTCTTCTGTCCGATGCACCCATGCATGTGCTCGCGTGGGCCACCTGGAGATGACTGTGACAGCTGAAAACGCGTTGCTATCGAGATTCACAAGCATAGGGCTGCGAGGACCAAGTCGAGCCTTATGGGAGTTTTACGCGCGGACCCTTACTGGTAAAAAGCGGGCGGGTGGGGGGGGGGAACGAAATTAAAGAACAGGAGCCAAGATGGGAACAGACGGCCCCCTCCTGCACTGATATTCGCAACTCTATACATTCGAAGAAAACTTATTCTCTTGCACAGGGTGTCTAAAAGCTCCGACGACTTCATGTCGGCACGGCGCCCGTCGATGCAGCCCCTGAGCCCCCGCCCTCCAGCGCGCCCGCTCCGCATCCACTTTCTAAAGCAGCCATGCCGAACCAACCCCATCGGCCCTCCGCGCCCGCCCCCCGCCAACCAGCGCAGCCAGCCCGCCGGCCAGCGCGCCCCCCCCGCGCCGGCCCTATCAGCCAGCGCGGCCCCTCTGCCCCGACCGCTATATTGCGGCGCGGCACCGGCCCCGCAAGCCAATGCGCCCCTTCCTCCCCGACCGCTTTATTTCGGCGCGGCGCCGGCCCCGCCGGCCAGCGCGCCCCCTTCGCCCTTTTTTTCGGCATGGCCCCGGCCCCATCAGCCAGCTCCCGCCGCCAGCCAGCGCAACCGGCCAACCAGCCAGCGCGCCCCCTCCGCCCTGACTTCTGCATTTCGTCGCGGCACCGCCCCCCCGCGCCCCCCGCGCAGCCGGCCACTCCGCCTTGATCCCAGCGCGACCCCTCCGCCCCGATTGCTTCATTTCGGCGCGGCACCGGCCCAGCCAGCCAGCGCGCCCCCTCCGCCCCGACCGCTTTATGTCGGCGCGGCGCCGCCCCCTCTCCCCCCGCCAGCTAGCGCGCCCCCCCCGCCCCGATGTTAGTTCCATTTCGGCGCGGCCTCGCCCCCCCCGCGCCCCCCGCGCAGCCGACCCTTCTGCCTCGACCCCGGCGCGCCCGCTCCGCCCCGACCGCCCCGCCAGCCACCGATCCCGCGGCGGGAGCGGGCGCCACCTCGCAGCTGAGACATCGGGATCGCTGCCCCCGTAAATCTCGCAACGCGAGCCCCCGTCTGGGGCGGCGATGACGGCCGCAGTCGCTGCGACGCAAAAGTCAGCCAAAAGTCCCTCGACGCCTCTCTGCTGGAATAGAGGGGCCCCGGCGCGCGCGCGGCGCGCGCCCGCTAGCTCGCGACCCTGGCCATCGCGAAAGGCGGGAAGTGGCGGGGCGCGCCAGCAGCCTCGCGCCAGCGCGCCGACGGCCGGCGGCGACGCGCGGGGGGGCGCGCGCGCGCCACCGCCGAACACGTCCAAGACTGGCCCAGCCGCCCAGCCGGCAAGCCGCAGCCCCCCGATGGAAGGCCGGCGCGCGGCCTGGAGAAGCGCGGGAGCGCGGTAAGCGGGCCTGTGTCTGAATCGTCGCTGACCTGGGCCCTGCGGCCCAGGTAGGGGGTAAATCTCTCCGATTTTGTCACTGACCAGGCCTGACGTCGACGGGGGGTAGCATCAATCGCGCCTGGTGCCAGATACCTGGAGCGCGCGAATTCGAGCGCGGCTTGGATGGCAAGCCTGCGAGATCGCCCCGGAACAACACCCGCTCCGCCATCATGCTATGGTCGGCGTATCAGACGCGAATGAGCTCGAGAGAGGGGCACGGGGGATCTCTGTAGAGATCCCCCGCGTGACAAGGCATGCTAACTTGAACGTGCAATCGGTCACCATGACAGGCCCGCTCTGGTTTCCAGACCAACATGTTGAATTTTCAATTCTGCACAGCGCACAACTCTCCAGGAGCACGCCGCCGCGCGCCCTCGGGGAGTTCTGCGCCGCAGAGGGCGCGGATAAGTTCGAGCCAAGACGATTAACCAATTGGTGTCCTCTTGGGGCCTCGATAATCCATGACATCGCGCCAAAGTCCGCAAGACGGGGCGCGGCTTCGTCGCTCGGCGAGGCCTTCCAAGACGGCCTGGGAAGTGGATTCAATCATGCGCGCGTGGATGCCAATGGGCACGGACGCGCCCTGAAAAAGGACGGCAACGCACGCGGCTGCCGCGCGCCGTTCACGACGCGCGCGCGCCCCATCGGCGCGCGCGATTGGCTCTGCGAAAATCAAATGACAACGCTTTCAGGTTGCCGCCGATGGTCTTTGCGCAAGGAACGTCTTGTCGCGCGCGCAAGAATGGTCTTCGTTTGCTATCATCGGCACGGGTGGCGCGCAAAACCACCAGAATGGCTTTGCGCGGCACGTGGGGGTTTTAGTAACCGGCCCGTTCGGGCGCGCGCCGACCCGCAGGCGGCGCGCGACGCCGCTTTTGGTGGCGCGCGAGGCCGCCAGAGTGGCTCTGCGCGGCTCTTGCCTGGCTTCGTCGCGGGCCCGGCGACTTTCGTCGCGGGCCCTTCAGTTTGGCTTAGCATGTCTGCAAAGAAGAACCATTCTGACAAGCTCGCTCTGTGTGATATGTAAGATGTTGCGCGGGTCTCTAGAAAGCAGCGGGCGCCCCCCGACAGCGCTGGCGCGCTGGCGGCAGCGCTGCCAGTCGGGCTTCCGTCGGCGAGCGCCAATGCTCAACGAAAAGACAAAGCCCGCCATCCGTCCCCGCCGCGCGCCATGACAGATTCCCAGCGATTCGTGCAGGCCGCAGCAAAAAAAAACACTCGCTCCAGCGATGGCGCGGCAGCATTGCGGGCGCAGCGCGCGGAACACGGAGGCGGGCGCAGCGCAGCGGCAGCGAATCAAGTTTCCCCCGTCGTATAGATCACAAATTCCACTCCCAGGCGCCAGCCCCAGGGGGGAGACCGCTCTCGCTGCGACGCGGGTCGCGCCCCCAGTTTGGACGTCGCTCTGCCTCGTGCGTTCGCGTTGTCCGAGCGAGCGCGCTTTCGCGGGCCACTTGCGCCGCTGGCCGCCGATTGGACCTCGGGCGCGCGACTGCTGCGGCATCTGCCAAATCGATTCCGAAATTCCGCCGCGGGCGCGTCCGGGGGGCGGGCTGCCACGCGTGGCCCGCGACCCGACACGTTCGATGAGTTGTCCTCGCAATTCGCGCGCGCGGTTGTCAGCGCGCAGCAATCTCGACAAAGCCTCTGGGGGAGAGGTCGATGGCATTTTTGCCCGCGACCCGTCTTGGTAGGCGACGTTCGGGAAAGTCGGGCTCTAGCCTTGCCCAAGCCCGACCTGGCGGGGGGCGGGGGGCGCGGCTCCGCGCGCGCCGCGCCGACCGCCATCGGGGGGCCATATTCCTTGGGGGCCGCCTTGCCCCCCCCCCGCCCGGCTCGCCTTCCCCGCGGCCTGGCGCTCGCGTTCCGGCGCCAGGGGGCGCCGGCGCTCGGCGCAGAGCGCCGCCGGCAGAACGGGTTGCTCCAGGGCGGCGCAATCGGGCGCGTCGGCGCAGCGCAGGTCGGGGCGCCGAGGACACTGCGGCGCCCCCCGCCGCCGAGCGCGGCCCGCGCCTGAGCGCCCCGCCCAGGCTGCCAGTCGGGCCGCGGTGGACGAGGCGCGCGACCAGCTTGAGCCAGGATGGAAACGGGCAGCCCGCCCCTGCAATGACAATCGCAAAGACGCAGATTTGCATTGAAATTCCAGCGAACAGCAGCGGCAAACGTTGGAGCGGAAGGGGCGGAATGAGCAGGGGGCCAGGGGGGCGCGGAGGAGGGAAAAGACGAATGGCCAGCGACGGGGCGAGGGCGCAACTCTGAACCACTGGGGCAAACGAGGCAGACGCTGCAGCGGCAACGCCATGTTGAAGGAACGGGACCGACCAGGCTGCAACAACGACCGAACCCCCCCCCAAAAAAAAGCAGGCTGAACGCGCAGGAAAAATACACAGTGACGGCCGATCATCTTCCCGACAGAATCATGCGAGAGAGGAGAGCAACACGCACGACGCGAAATCCCGAGGAGCGGGGGGGCGGAGAGGAGAGAAGAAACGGATAGGGCGGGCGAGAAGAAGGTGGGTGGAGCGCCCGGCGCGGCGGCGCGCGCGGCTCAGCGCCGCGAGTTTCGAAAGCAGCGCGGCAGGCCGGAAGGCGAAGGCGAGGTTGGCGGGGGCGCCCGCGGCGCGGTCTTCCCCAATGGAATTTGAGCCGCGGGGCCCGGGCAGGGCGGCGGCGCGGGGCCCGCCCCCGCTCGCCCCCCTGTCGCCCCGCGAGCGCCATGCGCGCAAGCGTGGCTCCACGGCCGCAGAAAACATGCGAAACCAGAATCTTTGACTGCGAACCCTGCGCGCGGGGAGTCGGGAAAGTTGGGGCGCAGGAAGGTCCAGGATGCGTCCCCTGCCAACAATCACCACTACAAGCCAGACAAACGCATCCGACGGGCCATGCAATGCGATTTTGGCTTTGCAATTAATGCGAAACCTAGATTACATATGAAGCCAATCGCGCCCGCATCGCTCGCGCTGACGACCACCTGGGCAATGGGGCCCAGAGCCGTGACGTCGCCGAAGTCGGCTTCCACTACTGGCGGCCATTACTGCGCCCGCGGCCACGGGCGCAGCCCCAGCGCTGCTCCTCTTGGGGGCGGCAAGAAGCAGCTGCGTCGGTTGCTGAGCGGCGGCCTCCGGGTTGCGACGCGCGAAGGGCGGGGGGCGCGCCGCGGCAGCTTGACCAGGAAGCTCGGCCATCAAATCTAGAACATCTCGGATCAAGAAATCATCTCGAAGAAAATGCAATGGTAAACTGTTCTCGTTTGCCAGAATGAACGCGTCTGCGCCGAGACCGCGGGAGATTGGGTCCGTCGGGGCGCCGCAGCGCCCCCCCATCGTCGTCCTCGATGACGAGCGAATTGCCCCCCCTTAAGAGATTCGCGCAAGTGACGCGGAAACGCTCGTCGTCCACAATGTCGACCAAGATCTCGAGAACTTTGGCGGGGCGCTCGGGCCCGCGCAGGGGGGGGCGGCGATATTTTGAGAGCTCAAGGCGCGTCGGCCCGAGCCCTGGGCCGTCCCCGACCCCGCTGGCGAGACATCCAGCCGCGCGCGCGGTCGCGGGCGTCGGCCCGCAGGCGATTCGACCCAGTCGGGCCGGGCGCCTCGCCGCGCGCACGCGTCTTCAAAGTGGCCGTTTTGCCGGGCGCCTGCTTGCAGAGGTCCATGGCAGCGTTCGCGCGCGCCGCCTGCAAAGGGGCGACTCGGGCCGAGCCTGGCGGCGCTCGGAACGACGCCTTCGGCGCTGTCCAGCCTCGCCCCCGAGCGGGCGAACTCCGCCAGGCGCTGGCCGGGAGGCGCCCGTGCCCCGGCGAGGGCGGGCGCGCCGATGACCCCGCCGGGGCCTCGACCGCGCACGCGCGGGGGCGAGCCCCGCGCCGCCGCCTTGCCGGGGCCCGGCGGCCAACGCCCCCAGCGGACATGCCGCGCCTGCATGGGGGGGCACCCACCAGCCTGGCATGTGAGCCCCTCGCTCTCCGCGCCCGCGCTCCCCCCCTTTGAGCCTTCGCTCGCGCGCGCGCGCGCAATCGATCGCTTGATGGATGCCACGCCAATACGGATCCCCCGACGGCGGCGACGACGATCTGGCTGTATTCGCCCCTGGCCGACCGTCCTCCAACGCGCCGCCCGACGCCGCTCCGGCACAGGGACGGCACAAAGACGTCATCCAGCGAAACTTGAACTTAATTGTTGGGTTGATGCTGAACTTCATGCTGATCGGAACCCGTTTTCTCAACAAAACCGTCCTGAGACGCCATCGTGGCACGACACCTTCCAAAGAATCGTGGTCCCACACCGTCGGCAAAACCGCATTTCGAAGCACCGCTCAACTATGGCTACCCATGTCGACGAGTGCGAGTTGGACGCGCACGAGGAGGGAGGGGAAGAAGGGAAAGGGGAGGGGAGGGAGGGAACTGGAGGACGGGGGGTGTAAGGAGGAATGTGGAGGTGACGCCTCTGCCCCACTTTCCCCCGCTCCCACTCCCCCTCCACCGACCTCTCCGCACCCTCTCCTCCTCCCCGTCGTCCTGCTGCCGCGCCTCCTCCCCCTCCTCGGGGGGCGGATGGCCCCCTGGGCGACTCGCCCCTGCCGCGTCCCCAGACCCCCCCAACGCGACGGCTCATTCGCGCGGCGGGCCCCCAGAGCTCTCGCCTCCACCCCCATGGCTCCGGGGACGACAAGAAGCGGGTCTTACGCAAGATGACGCAGCGACCTTCCTGCGCGGCGGCTCACGCGGGCCGCCAGCGCGGCACGCCACACTGGCAACGAGGGTGCTCACGCGCGACCTCACGCGGGCAGCTCGCCAATGCCGGTGAAGATGATCCCGATGTTCTACGCCGCTCATTTCTGCCCCGAGAGGTGTTTTCGCAGCTCCAGGGCTGGGAAGGAGCAGCCAGAGGATCAACCTCAAACCACGCCCCAAATTTGATTTTCATCCTGGCGCCCGGAGGGCTGGGTCTCCTCCCCATCCCCCTGGCCTGCTGCCGGGGAGATGTCCACACAAACGCCGATAGCGATATTATGGAGGACGACAACGGCATGAACATGAACTGTCGGAACTCCGCGCGGAGCTCCAAAGAGGGTATGTGTACAATCAGCCCCTCCAATACGGACGCGCGGTAAGAATGCACGGGCCTTGGAGGACCATATGTACGTTTGTTGAACGAGGTTGGCCAGCCAAAGTTGTCAAGGATGGGCCGAAGGGAAAGAATGCAGGGGTAGCCCTGGAAAGTCGCGCTTCCTTACTATGCGGGTCGACCGTATGCTGTTTTACCTCCTTCGGTGTCGGTGCTCCTGGGGGCTTGTCTGCGGGGACGTCCTGACCAGGAGCCCGAGGCGGATCCAGCTGGGGCGACGGGGGCCTCCACGGAGGCCCCGACGCGGCGAAGGCGAGACGTGTGAGCGTGTATGCATCCAGATGTGTATATCACTCGGGTCGGGCGAAAGGGGGTGATAGCAAAACAAAAGGGTTTGAGAATCACCTCCCGTAACTGATTTTCCCGGCGCCTCCCGGCGCCGGAGGAAGCTATGTAACGAGGAATGGGCCCCTCGGTGGGGCCGAAACCAGCTGCATGCAGCAAATTTCGTAGCCCCCCCTTTCCCAATCCCCCCCGTTCGTCCAGCCCGAATCACGTCTTTCTCCTCTGACTAGGGGCACAAAGGGTCTCCCCGAAGCCCTACAAAACAGCGAGCAACGAAAGACTCCTGGCTGCCGGGACCCTGCGCGCCGGCTTCGCCGGAGACATCAGGCTACTATTAAGTCGGGCGTGTGCCTCTACAGGGGGGAAAATTCAAAAATAGTCAAAAAATAGTCTGGCGACGTTTTTGAAGCAAATGTTTGAACTGTTTTTGAATATATGTTCATTCTTTTCGTCCAAAATCCGCCTGTAGGGGGAGACATGCCCGACCTAAGGCTACTACACACTGCGGCCGCTGCCTCTGCGCATGGGCAGTGAAAGGGGAGGGGAGGGCAGGGGACCAGGAGGACGCCAGCTGCCGCGGGTTCACCCGCGCAGCCGTCGGCGCTGGTTCACACCGCGAAGATCGTTCGACCTCGATGAAGGGGCCCTGGGACACACAAGTGAATACAGTCGGAGTTGATTGGACAGGACGCGTGAGAGGGCACAAGACCCTTCCGAGGGCCACGTTGCCACAGGAATGTAGGAAGGCATGGGTCGCGAGACACAGGACACAAGGGTCCCCTTGATCTGGAAGGGTCGATCTACTAGTCGGGGCCGACTGTAAACACAAATCAAAAGATGTCCTTACATGTTCTGTTCTTTTCCGGGCTTTTTTTGTCCTCCCCCCCACACTTCCCATATGTTCCCATATCTTCCGGGGAATCGACCCATAGGTTCCCATATCTTCCGGGGAATCCACGACGAATCGTGTCTGTGTGCTTCTGGCTCCCTCCTGCCTCGAGCGACCGCGGCATCCTGCCTGGTAGGAAGGCACCAACTATACACCAGCACCGATCCTGGCCAGGATCACCCTGGGCCCAGGATCGGTGTATACGCCCTCCTGCCTTGCGCAAGAAGGCATATACACCGATCCTGGGCCCAGGGTGATCCTGGGCCAGGATCGGTGTTGGTGTATAGTCGGTGCCCTCCGACCTGGCGCGGATCGCTCCACCTCGGCCGACCACGGGCCCCGGGCGACGCTCCACCCCGACGGCCCGCGCTGCGGCCGCC